CTATTGAAGTTACAAAAATAATTTTTACATATTTATATATCATTTAATAAGCTTATTTCATTTTGTTAATTTCACCAAATTATATTAACATTGATCAATACCTTGACATGGTGTTTAATAAGTAAATATTAAGTTTAATATCTTATTATTATTTAGAAACATAATTTAAATATAATGTATATTATATGATATAATATATTATTTGAATGTTTTTACAAAAATACTTTATTAGATTAATAGTATTATATGAAATAGCATTGTATGATTATTTTTAATGTTTTCAATGACATCTATCAATAGAAAAATGCGACATTTGAACAGCTCTAGCACATTTATTTGTAGTGATAATTGAAAAATTTTAAATGTTAGTCAAGACCATATCTCGAGCTATATCCAACGCACTAATTAGATTTGCTCTTAAACATGTAGTTTCCTCTCTATAAAATACATCCCTTTCCTCCCGGTGCTACAAATTAGTAAAATATTTTTTTATTTTAAATGATAGAGATTTAAATACTCTACATTTTCCATGTCATAACTTTGCTATACATATATTGATTTTCTATAATTAAAGTTGTGATTTGTTGAAATACCCGGCCTCCCTGTGCTCTAACCATTAGGTTTGGATACAAACCATTGACACCATGTATCTGTAGAATTTTACGCTCTTTCCAATGGTGTTCTCAGAATCACTCTAGGTCTTATAATTTTTGAGCTAGAGCATAATACTTAAAAGCTACCAGCCCCTTACAAATAGGTGTCTGTCCATTGGAGTACAGAAAGACAATGAAAATATGAAAAAAGTATATTTTAAAATTATTTTTAATTAATATAGTTTTTAAAATAACGATTTTGCCCGTACTTAGTTTCCAAGTCAATATGTGTTGTAAATATAAATTATAAAAACTTGACTACATAATAACATATGATTTATTATTACTTTTTAAATCGATCAGTAATATTCTATTCGAATTAAACGCTAAACATTTTATATTTATAAAGGCATTTTTTTTAATATGCATGTTTTTTTCTAAAACCAGGTATATAATTATTTATTATCGTATTTAGTTAACAACAAAATATTATTATTACATAAAATTAAATACCACTTCAAATTATTGTCTAGTTTTTTTGTCATATTTCAATGAAACTTAAATGTTTGGCACTTAAATAGCATTAATACAGTAATACACTATATGAATATAAGTAAAATCAATTAGTCAGTTATATAATAGATTTAATTTATGTTTTTGAACAATAATTATTTATAGCTATTCATGAATGTGTAACTTTTATTTTATAATTATAATAATGTATTGTAAATATTATTCATAAAAATGTGATTAAATAATAACATATCATTTATTATTACTTTCAAAATTTATAAACTCTATTTGAATAAATCGTTAAACATATTAAATATTTATAAAGGCATTTTTTGAAAATATATATGTTTTTAAAACCAGATATATGATTATTTATCATTCATTCAACAACTATATATAATTATTACCAAAAATAAATACCACTTCAAACTATTGTATCTAGTTTCTTTTGTTATAATTTAATGAAAGCTTAAATGTTTGGCACTTAAATAGCATAAATACAATAATACACTATATGAATATAAGTACAATCAATTAGTCAGTTATAATATAAAATGTTTGTATAAGATAAAAGTATGTGATTTTGTCATTTATAAAATTATTTTAATGTATTCAATGAAATGTCTGAATTAAACGGAGTACATTTAAAATTAGCTACAAATCATGTAAATAAGTATTCAATAATTATTTGTCTATTTATATCAATTATAATGTATTTTTTATATTATAATTCAAATAATTAAAAATATTTGGTTCTAACGAGTAAGATAAACAATTTATTTTGCAACTAGGTACCACCTTATATTATGTTAAATTACAATAATTCAACAAAAGGTTATGAATTGATTGGTGGTACAGATGGCATGCTTTTCATGACAATTGCCGAGTATTACAATATAACATACGATGTGCTCAATAATAACGGTGTTTGGGGGGCACAACCTGTCAATAACACGTGGTCAGGAGTTACCGGTATGCTTCAGTCAAAGGTATGAATGATAATAACAAATACCGATCTATTTAAATATTTTATATCATCCAGAGTGAGGATATTGCATCATGGTTCATAATGACAAACGAGAGACAAAATGCCATTGATTGTAGTTATCCATATACTGTTAGATATATGACATTCACATCTCCAATGCCTTTAACAACACATTTCGACAATTTATTACAACCTTTCGATACATACATCTGGATATCAATTATAATCACTCTATTAACGATATTATTGATAATATATGCCACAAATGATACAATAACTAGAAAATTAAATTTATTTTTCATTATATTAGCTTTATTTTTACGACAAAATGGCACCACGCGCATTAATCACATAAATAAATTATTACTTTTAACCTGGATCCTAATGTCGGTTATATTAGGCGCATGCTATTCAGGATCTATTTATGCATTAATTCGTGTTCCCATTGAACACAGAATCGAGACATTAGACCAATTGATTGCAAATGAAATGAAGGGTAATATTAAGATTATTGTCCAAAATGGTACCCTTCGACAGCATTTACTCGTATGTTATATTAATCTTAGTTTATATTATATTTTATCCCGCAATATAGTTTTTAAACTTTTAAAAATGGCTGTTTTTTAATAATCCATTCATAATTCATTAATAGTTGTTTCAATATTTATTAGTTTATATTAAACTTATGACAACCGGTTACTAACAAATATGGTAATATTTCTAGATAATATCTAAAAGTTACCCAATGTAATTTCCGAAGAATTTTTAATAGATATTGAATTGTTATTATATGAATTTGATTATATTAAATATTTAATATTATATATTATTTTTACTATTAAACAGGATACAATAAACGTAAGGTATTGGGTATAAGTTTATTAATTACCATGGTGTCCACAGGAAATATTTATTTAATTATTTAAAACATACTGATCATCTATACGCTATAATTGGATATAATGAAAATCTTATATATAACATAATCGCACAAAATATAACTAGGCATTATGTAGCAAATAATGTGAATAAAGGAGTATTAGCCTGGTATTTAAATTCTATTGGATTAGCCAAAAATTCACCATACTTATATAGTATTAATAAAGTGTAAGTAGGTGTCCATTTTAGTAAATGCTGTAAACTAATTACTATTATTTTTGCACTAGGTTATCTCGAATATGTCAGGCAAACCTTATAAATAAATGGGCGAGAAAATATTTGAAAAGTAACATGATACCTTTTCATCAAAATACGAATAATTATTATTTTGCATTGTCCTTTAAAAATTTAAAATTTATTTTTAATATTTGGATTAATGAAGCGATTGTTACGTTCATTATATTTATTATTGAAATTTTGTACTCGTTGATTTTTCATTGTGGCAATTGTTAATTATTGTTATAATGAAAACAAAATTCAAACCATAAATACAGTATATTGTATAATTAATTATATAATGGTGTATATATTTCCTCAATATAAATATTTTTAAAAATTTACAATAATTTGTTTATAAATGATAAAAGTTTATTTATTATCTTGATGTATTAAAATTATTTTAAATATGATAACTTATCATTGATAAGTAATTTAAATTGTTTTGCTTAAATAAACTTATGTCGCTTACAAAATGCAAATCATTATATTATAATAAAAGGAAACGTATATTAAGTTAAAAGTTTTAATTTATTTCTTGGAAACTAGTGAAACAATTATCATGTTTTTACCGGAAATGATATTAACTTATTATAGAAAAGAGTTAATTTAAACACGAATACTTACAAAACAATTAAAAATAAACATTATAATAAATTACAGCAAAATTGTTTAATAAATAATAATGTTTTTATTTAGTAATTTAAATATTTTTCTTATATTGTATTTAAATGTGTTTTATTCATATAACTGTCAATACATTCACAGTCGGTGTGGATATCCAGGTCTACCCCACGACTAGCGTTCGCAGGTCTAAAATCTAAATTCCTTGAGATTTCCTTGAGTATTAATTTATAGTCATATTTATTAAGAAAAATTTCTAATATTTTACTAAATACCCTTGTAATATAATTTTGCCTATAATAATGTATAGATTATTGATTTATTCACTGAACCAATTATTAACTTTTATTTATTAGTGATACATTTGTTAGACTTTAAACTGTATTTGTATTATAAAAACAAAATTGTTTAAAGGAGGTTTAGTTATATTTCAGATTTTATAAAATACTTACTAATCGTGCCATAAAATTCCTTGAGATTATATTAATAGAATTTTTAATTAGAGTTTACGACAAATCCTAATAATAGAATTGATTAAATTGCTAAATATAGCTCTTGTATTTGGTACATATTATTTAAGTTTTATAACCCATTATTAATTTATTGAATAGTGTAAAATCAGTTTTTAATTTGATTATGCAAGTTAAAAGAGTTTTTGCGATTAATCATGGAATATTTATATGTACTTGTAGTATTTTCTGTTAAAATTAAGCAAGATTATTAATAAATTCTATAATATTCCGATTCCTTGAGAACCAAATATCAAGGAAACCCCCTTTCCTTGGGACAGGAGTCATATCCCGATTCCTTGACACTCCTGCCTATCCTTGAGGTTCTGCGAACGCTACCCCACGACACACGTATTGATCCCAAAAAGACTGATTACCAGGACGGGGATGAAGTCACGTATAGCTGTCCTTACGATAAGCTCTACTCTAAGACACAGACCATGAGGTGTATGTCCGGTGTATGGGTGGGCACGAGATCCACGTGCGGCTACTATATTAAGAATCAGTTAATTGGTGTCAAAGTTATTAATTTGCTAAATAATACAACTGTTGTGGACATAAATACCAGTGCCTATTCTAACAGTGCATACCCGGTGTCATATTATGATGGAAAGGGAACGGCTGTTCAATTGCCCGAACCTCATGTACCCCATGAATGGCGGAAAATTATTAATTTAAATATTAAAAGTTTATTTTTACTTAATTTAATTAACAATATTTTAGATTAATCTTAACTAGGCTTACTTACTGTGGCGACTCTCCCGTTCCCCTATTAGCCAAATATAATGATGAGACACAACCCGGTTTTTGGTCATTTATGAGTTAAAAAGTGTGTAATTAAATATTTGAATGAGTCATATCTGATGTTAGAAAGCAAATTGAGGTTTATATATAGGCTAAAAAAACTTTATACTTTGCTCGAAAGCAATGACAAATATTTAAATTTTTAGCCTATATATAAACCTCAATTTGCTTTCTAACATCAGATATTAAAAATGTGTGTTACTATATTTCTAAAATTATTGTTTATTCACAACTATTAATTATATAAATATGACCAACTAATAACATATAATTAATTTTTATTTATAAAAAACATAATGTTGTTTGAGAATGCATCAGGAATATTTATACACTGTATGTTTTAAACTGTAAACACATGAATTAATTATAAATATTAGTAAAATTACTATTTAAATAATATTTACAAACCTAGTCCTGTATTCTTTAATATAAAATTAATTATAAAACATTCATTTCATTACATAGTATTGAAATGTTTTTATAATAAAAATAATGTAATATTATTTAGTATTCAAATTACTCACCTAGGTAAACAATTGTATCGATTAAAATAGACAATTCGTGCACTTAGTTAATAACATAGTCTATAACATAGTTACACAATGTTTTCATTTCCAATAACAATGAATAAGAGTAATGTAATTATTTTTAATATTCTGCTAACATTCAAATAAACTGGTCCGTTTACTTTACTTAATACTTTGTATATTATGTAAATATAATGTAAAATAATATTATGTAATAATTTTAAAACTTACTGAGAATTCAAGTTAATTCACGTAAAATGTCAGAATTAAACGGGTTACATTTAATATTAGCCACTAATCATGTAAATAACAATACAAATAAATGTTACATCTGTGCTGAGAACATAAACCCATAATTTTCAATGAGTTATGTGTCAAAAGCTTTTATATTGCTTACGCATAAAGTGTACAAGTTTATTTAAAGTGTTTTAGATTCATATCTCATTAAAAATTGTGGACTTGATTTCTCAGTACATATATAATCATTTAATATATTATAAATATCGATATATCTGACTATTCAAAATTGATTTACTAATTGCTAATAAAAAATATTTAACTAGTACCCTCCGTATAGTATTTTAAACTACAATAATTCAACAGAAGGTTACGAATTGATTGGTGGTATAGACGGCTTGTTTTTCATGACAATTGCCCAGCACTACAATATAACATACGATGTGATCAATAATAACGGTGTTTTTGGGACACAACCTGTCAATAATACGTGGCCAGGGGTTATCGGTATGCTTCAGTCAAAGGTATTAGCTAGTTACATTTTTGGTAAATGATTATTCTAATACAATAAATCAAATTGATTATGTTCCAAATAAATTAACACTGTATATATCTCAGTTAATTTATAAAATATTAAACATAAATGAATTTTACGATATATTTTAGATAATTAATTTAATTTGAAATATTTGTTAACAATTTTTACTATTTGAAATATTAACTATCCCATTGTAATTATTATAATTAATGGTATTAATGTTAATTTTAATATTTATTTATTGCATGTGTTTTAGCGTGCTGATATCACATCTTGTTTATTAATGACAAATGACAGGCAAAATGTGATTGATTACACCTATCCATGTTATAGTGAATATCTTACATTCACGTCTCCAATGCCTATAACAACACATTTCGACAATTTATTACAACCTTTCGATTCATACATTTGGATATTCATTATAATCACTTCATTAATATTAGGACTAATAATTTGTAATACAAATAATAAGACGACTAGAACATTTAATTTATGTTGGTATATATTATCTATATTGTTGCGACAAAATGGCACCACACGTGTAACTCAAATAAATAAATTATTAATGTTGACCTGGATCCTAATGTCGGTTATATTAGGCGCATGCTATTCAGGATCTATTTTTGCATTAATTCGTGTTCCCATTGAACACAGAATCGAAACATTAGACCAATTGATTGCAAATGAAATGAATGGTAATATTAAAATAGTTGTTAATAATGGGTCCATTTACCAATACGTGATAGTAAGTTAAATAAAATAAAATTTTATTTATAGGAAATTTTGATTACAACAATTTACCGAATACTGTACTAAACTGCCATTATTTCTAAAGTATTTTTATTCTGTTTATAATAGATTGTAATCCTAGGTATTTTTAATCCAATCATTTTTAACAGTTATTTTTAAATTATTTTTATTTTTACATTACAGTACTAGAATTATTATAAGTAATTTTTATAAAATAAATTACTAGTAGGTGATTTGAACTCGACACAATGCTCTACTAATAATATATGTTTTACAATCACACAGGATAAAATTAACGAACGATATGGATATAGATTTATAAATTACCATGGTGTTGACGAGAAATCATTATTTGATTTTTTAAAACGTACTGATTACAAATACTCTGTAATTGGTGTAAGCGACTACCTTATTTATAACATATTTAAGCACAAAATAATTGGACATTATGTAGCAAATAATGTGAATGATGCAAAATTAGCATGGAGCCTTGAAGCTATGGGATTAGTTAAAAATTCACCCTACTTGAATTATTTTAACAAAATGTATGCTGTGGTATTTAATTAACTACTGTAAATTAAACATTTTATTTTATATCAGCTTATCCCGAATACGCGAGGCAAACCTTATGGAATACTGGATGAGAAAATATTTAAAAAGTAATATGGTCCAGGTTCATCAAGATAATATTTATGTTTATTTTGCTTTATCGTACAAGAATTTAAAAAGTATTTTCAATATCTGGATATATGGCGGCATTATTATGTCTTTAGTTTTAATTATGGAAATATTATTTTGTGCAACATATAAATATGCAAATTTTTAATTATTTTGTAATAACAAAAATTTATAATTAATGTATACAATAATATAATGGATTTTGTGATTTATGTATGCACAAACAGTATAGGTTTTACTCACAAGTTTCTAAGATTATTTGTTTTAAATTTACTTGTCCAAATAAATAAAATTGATTTATATTCTTAATCTATTTAAAAATATTACAAAGTTATCAATGTAACATAATAAATAACATTAAATATAAAATCTATAGAGATTTTCAAACCATAACAGTAAAATGTCAAATATCTATAACATACATCTACCATAAAAACTAACAATTTAGTGTAAATAAATAATATTTATGTTGTTTTTATATTTCGATAATAAATGTTATAGAATTATAATTTTAATAAGTAGATATTAAGTTTAATAATTTATTATTATTTAGAAACATAATTTCCTCACAATAAATATTTTTAAAAGCTTACAATAGTTGGTTGATAAATGATAACAGTTTATTTATTATGTTGATTGTAATGTTGTGTACTGAAATTATTTTTAATATGATAGATAATTTAAATAGTTTTGCATAAATAATCTTATGTCGCTTACAAAATGCAAATCATTATAATAAAAGGAAACGTATATTAAGTTAAAAGTTTTCATTTATTTCTTGGAAACTAGTGAAACAATTATTATGTTTTTGCCGGAAATGATATTAACTTATTATAGAAAAGAGTTAATTAAAACACAGATACTTACAATACAATTAAAAATAAACATTATAATAAATTACAGCAAAATTGTTTAATAAATAATAATGTCTTTATTTATTAATATAAATATTTTTCTTATATTGTATTTAAATGTGTTTTATTCATATAACTGTCAATACATTCACAGTCGGTGTGGATATCCAGGTCTACCCCACGACACACATATTGAACCCAAAAAGACTGATTACCAGGACGGG